GGGGGGGGGGGGGGGGGGGGGGGGGGGGGGGGGGGGGGGGGGGGGGGGGGGGGGGGCACTTGACCCGCCTAGGTCCGCCCATGGGTATGGGGTGACTGGTGAAGATGAGAAATATGGTCTCTGGCCTTATTGTTATTAATTCTAAATCGTATTTACGAGAATAAAATATTATATAATGTTAAAAAAATTAATTACTTAATGGAAACGAGGTTGGGAATGGAGTTTCCCGCGCTACTTCCTCTACGTGGGGAATGGGGGAGGGAACATGGCATTAAAATCCTCAACATGAAGGAAAAGGTAAGTCAAGAAAGGAATTAAGTCGATTGAAATAGAGCAATAGTACAATAACATAAAGCCTATGTTTGACGAACAAATATATTTTATGGATCTCATAATTTTTCAACTATATATTTCATAGATATCCATCAAAATTTATTAAAACACTAATTTTATTCTCCGTCGAAGGAGGGCTAAATAAAAGTTGTTTTAATTAATAGGAATTATCATAAATTTATTTACCTATTAGGGTTCATTTGACGACTTCTTTTAGAAAAGCTCCTTGAAGAAGATATTTTAAGTCATTTTTTTCTAAAAGTTCTTATACAGACAAAATGCTTCCAAAAAATTATTTAAACAAATTTAAAAACAACTTCTTAGGATCCGTTTGACAAGTTCTTTTATAAGTCAGATTGAACATATTTAAGTAATTTTATAAAAGTACTTTATCTGACTAGAAAAATTTATAGACAAGCTAACCTAGAATATTTTCCTTAAAAAGCTCCGCCGGAAGAAACAAAAGTCCTGCAAGTCCAATCTCAGTCGAACTTTTTACTTTTCTAGAGTCCGATGAAGGGTTGCTTAATTTATGTACAATATCACTTATTATCGCTAATGTAGCTTAATACATCATTTCTATGTACCCTATCCTCCTTTAAATTAAGAAAAGAATTTGTTCATGTCAATGCAAGTCTTGTACAGCACAGCCAAAAATTAAAGCACCCTATTTTTGTTTTTCTGTCATCTCCTTATCCTAAAAAGTCATTTGACTAAGCTAATTAATTGACCAAAATGGTTTCTAAAATATGAATCATGAAAAAAAAAAAAAATCAGAAGTAATGAAAAATTGTACCAGAAAGAAGAAGCGATTAATTGAATTACATAAGCTAATCTTGTGCACAGTAAGAGGGTCGTCAAAAGAGAGAGAGAGAGAGAGAGAGGACATTTTTCCAAACCTATAGCACAATATTATCACGAAGCTGTTGCAGAACGGGTAGTATTTCGCCCTAAACCGATACCCAGACCTAAAGGAGCAGCATCAGTTTTTCTACCGTGATTATGGCTATGGCTACAATGAGAAGAATGAACATGCCCATGATGTGCATTTTTGTTGATATTCATGTCGATTGCTACATGGCCATTTCCATTTGTTTGATGAGCATGGCTGATACCATTCGACAGGTTTGTATTCCGAGCCATTTGCAACATTGAAGTCCCTTCAGATTGACTCGATTCTTCATTGTACTCCAAGTCTTCATTGTATCCATTTATCAAGAAATCTGAACAGTTTTTCTTGCAGCCATGATCATATGGGTTTCTGAATCGGCCCCCAGCTCCTCTGAGATAATTGTAACGCATTGAATTTGCCATTTCGTTTGTAGTAATGTTGTGAGCAATCTGTAGGGGGGATAGAGTGGCAAAATCCGTTAAACACAAATAGAATAAGTCGCCAACTCCTCTTAAAAGTAACTAAAAACACTGGCAAAAACCGTTCCAACACAGACACTAAAATGTTGGCATGTTACTTTTTGTTATATGTTTATTTTCATATTCAGATTTTTATAAAAGTAATATCTTGACAAAATGGATCACAAATACACCCTAACCTAGGAACAAATTTAAACAAAAATGGTTGAACACATGATGATAATCATGTCGTACATTGATCCATGTTCTTAACATCGAATATTCGTGCATGGTGTAGAAGCTATGTGCTGTGGAAAAATGAATTACTTCTTCACAGGAAATGAATATGTGAAAGAACATCGTATTATTGAATACCCCCAAGTGACGTGTTTGGGATAGTTAATCGTGGTTTCTAATCTCGCTTATAATGTTGATTTCAGAGCACAGATGATATCGAGACATTGCAGGTATCTCTAAAGCTTTTGGCCGGTGTAATTCAATTAAATAGAGCTGTGTGAATGAAACAAGATGCGAGAATGACTTTGATTTCGATATACCATGAATGCATGAAGATGTGAATGACATAAAAAGGTGAGGGTTCTGGACATAATGAGACAAATTTCGGGCACTGCACATTGGGAACTTTCCGAGAGAACTCAGACTTTTTAAAACACTTAATGATGTCTACACATCCTCATGTTATCATAATGTATCACCAAAACATTGTATTTCGAGGATCAAATTCTAGGCTAACGAGTCATACCTCAAGAGGTATATCATGGTATCTTCCTATTATTTCAAACCATGAATATAAATATGCATTTTCGGATAATTAGCTGAAAAGACCCAAATACAAAGAAAATAAAGATCCTGGAAGCAAACCTGAGAAGCCTGTACAACAGTTAAGACCGCCACACCAGATAAGAGGAAAAAGTCTGCTATCAAAAATGATATAGCACCAACATGCTGATTTCCAGCATGGTTCAACCATGCACCAAAGGAAGACGGAGCCATTGGGTCAGTCAGCACTCCTGCAATGTTAAGAAAAATTTTACAACGGATAATGGAACATAAAGAAAACAAAGGAAGATGAAATTATAGCAATTTTTAAATATTTCCATGAAAAGATCAACGAAAAAATATCTCACTTGTGAGAGCCACTCCTCCACTAATCAGCATTGCCAGTATTTCCAGAAGAAGAAACAAAAAGAAATCCCACTTGTTTTTCTGTATCAGATGACAAAATCTCAATCAGACCATTATGGTAAGAAATTAACGCCTGAGAGTCAACAGAGAGAACACAAAGGCAGAACCAAGTGGGAAGGAGGAATGCAGAATAAATAGGAGACTGTATGAGCTAACTAATTGTCTATTCACAATTTTTCTGTGTATTTCGTAAAGATCAGTATCAGTTAACCAGCTAACTCATCCTCCCGTCACTTGATTCACCCATTCTTTCCCCCGATACAAGTAAGTCAGGCATATCAGTTATGAATCCAAGTGGGCCATGAAAGAAAGAGCAGATTTTGTTCTTCCTTTCTTTTTTTCCTTTACAAGTTAGGATGCAAAGATATGTATGGAGAACCCACTAACCAATCTCTACTCAAATCCAAGTGGCATGAAAAGAGAGAGACACTTTTTTCCTTTACCATGCCTTCAATGATTTGGACATAAATAATTTTTCCAAGGTCATTTAATCAGGGAACTCCATCTTATTTACCAGAATAACAGATCATAATAATCAAGAAAGATGAGCAAATAAATATTATATCACCTTGCCAATGCAATTAGATACCCAAGGGCAATGATGGTCAAACTGTTCAACACAACGATCACACGTGGAACAATGCTTCGCGCGTAGAGGCCGAACAATCTGATAAATCACAAGTCAAACGAGGTTAGAAGCAATACAACTTGAACATTCAGATAGAATACAGCTTTCTTTTCCTTTTAATTAGGTATACAGGATTGTGCACCTTGCAAGTTGCGCAAAGCTGAGACCAGTTCCCAGCAAGCAAAGCGGGATTATTTATTTCAATCTTCAGCAAAGGTTCCTAAACCAAAAATAATGAAGGGTGACATTTAAAAGATGTTGAAAGTACACACAATTAAAACTATGGATATCTATACCTGGCAAAGCAAATTTAGAGCTATGATATGAAAGTCAGGTAAGATTGCATGCTTGGGATTCTTAGAAAGAAATAAAAGAACGGGGATTGATATAAAGTAGAGCTTTCCAGCACCGTAGTAGATAAAAGACAAGGTAGTGATTTCGCTGTGCTTGTGGAACCAATTTTATTGTTAAATAACAAAACTGTTGGATTAGATATAAACATAGCAATTAACTGGAAAAAAGATAATAAAACAGGTGGCAACTTACATCATCTTTCGTGTTTTGTGACTCGTGTACATTCATTCTGATGTACCCTGGATCCTTGCTACAAATAAAATGGTCAAACAAATTTAGACTCATTAATTTAACAATAATAGTAATTCCAAACACATTATAATTCTAATGTATTTAATCACAACTCTTAGCTCTATGAAGATCAAATATTAAATAATCAAGTTACATCCAGATGCACATACATTATATCTTCAAGAGGGAATGTGGTTCACAATTTCATAATATATATCCATATCATCAATGTTTAGACAGAATAATTAAGTTAATGGCTGAAACCATCAACTGGCAGTGTATTAAACATCAAATTAAAATGGGAAACTACAAAAACATAGCATCATTTTACGTTCTCAGACATTCTATGTGCGAACAATTTTAACACAAGGAATTGATGGGGGGAAAAACACCAAGCTATAGGAATTCATCGTGAAAGTTTGCAGAAATAATAATAAACAATCAAAAATCATCTTTGGCCACGTATACCATATTATGATTAATAAGAAAATTAGAGAAGAATCCAACAGGCAACTCCATTTCTCAAAACAAAAAAATAAAGACCTAGCATCTTCACAAGTCCTATAGACATCAAAGTTGAAAGAAACAATGACTTCATGAATGCCAGCCACTCATTTGAGTTACCTGCTGCACCTATAAAACAAAACTAGTCCCAAGGATGCCAAGAACACACCCATCCAAGCAAAAAGACCAAAGCCAGCTGTTAATTTTGGCAGGTTTGATGCTGCATCCACAAACCAGTAACAAAGGTTCTCAAGTGTAATAATTAGACCTACAATGCTAAATAAAAATGAGAAGCAGAAAGTCGTGAGATATACCCGTAATAACTGAATGAATATATGTCACAAGTAACAAAAATATTATACACCAGAGTATTGGAGCAAGTCCTAATTTCGAGAGTTTGCCAAGGCGGCTGTTTCCATCGCACCGTTTGTCAAACAATCTTCTAGCATTCCCCTGTAAATGAAACCCAAAGAACATAAAAAAGATATGACCTATCCCAAATGCAGACAAATAGCTAAATTAATGTGAAAAGAATAAAACTGCTCGATGAACATATATTTAGGGAAAATTGGGAATTGACATTTTAACTGCAAGAAGTTATTGGGTTTATAGTACAAAAATGTGTTAAAATCACCATTTTCATCTACAACAAGCTGTATCCCTTTTCTTTTTAACTTCATCAGGAAGCTCCAAATAAAGAGGAAGCTAGCCCCAGTTTGACCCCCCATTTTCTATAACTCATTTTTCCTCAAACTCATTTTCAACCGCACATTTCATGAGACCACAACTTTTATCTGCTTTTCAACTACACATTTTATCAACTTTTATCAAAATCTATTAAAAACCTGATTTTTAGGGCTAATTTTCCATGCCTAATCAATTCTAGTAATTTTCTGCATTCCCTCAATGTATCCCAAACTAAACAAACTCCATTACACACACACACCCAGTCTTTTTGAATGATTAATTCTCAAAGAATATCTTCAAGATCTTTTCCCTAGTCTCATGCACGAGGTTAGACAAGTGGAGGACCAAATTTTTATATAATTGTTTACAGAGACACTTCACATGCAACTCTAACTGTGAAAGAGTATTGTTGTTCATAAGTAGTCCTTACCCATCAACAATCTATGCGGAAGCTAATAGCTGCCACATTCTCCTTAAAAATGGAATAAATTTTAATTTGTTGGATAATGTGGCAGTGATCATTAACACTATTGATGAATAGCATTATTCACAGTGAAGTGGATGAGACCATGTTTTCCTGGTATGCATACCAGAATAAACGCACAGTATGCACTTACAAATCTTATGATAGTAAATCTGCAATTAGCTATACAATTTCGTAAGTCTGTCTCAAGTACTCAAATCCTATATATACATGGAAAAGCACGAATAACTAAATCCATAGAAGATTATTAAGCCTCCATTTGAGAAGAATTTATAAATTTATAGAAATGAGTTGTGCATAAATGGATAGTATTTGTGGTCCATTGGAATATGTGATTGAAAATGAAGTTTGACCGTATAAAAATGATTAAAATAATTTCGCCAAATGGAGGCTAAATAGAGAACACTAGGGAAATATGTCCTTAAATTAGACAAAGTTGTCCACTTTACATATTAGAGCCAAAGGGGCTAATAAATGGAAAAGAAGAAAAGGTGAGAAACACACAAAATTTTGCACAAAGGAAAGAGATAAATATGTTTCCAAAAGCACGATAACTCCAGAACAATTAAGCATTCTGAAATATTGTTAGTAACTTAAAACAAGCTCCCTAACTTCAATGATAACATTACACATACGCAAAGACAAAATTATTTTGATACAATCCGTAATTCCACTAATTAAGTTCCAGCTCAGTGGGAATACAAGAACTGCAAGATTAAGGAATACCTACAAGGAAAAAGGCGACTTGTCTGTGATTCTTATCAGAAGCAAGCTGTGCAGGTGTGAGGCCAGTATTATCTGCCACCATCAGATCTTCTTTCTTCCCAGCTTGCACCAGCACAGTGCATGCTTCCAAATTACCCCTAATAGCAGCCCAGTGGAGAGGCGTACAACCTAAATGACAAAATGTATGTGAAATTTTTGAATCAAGATATAATAACATAACATTTCCATGACATCAGTTACTCTTCAAAAAATATGAAAAAATCTGAAACACAGAAAAGTTATGGAATATAGAGCTTTTGAACTTACCCTCTTTGTCCTGACGTCCCCTATATGCATCTAGAAATAACAAAAGACGTATGCAGTCTGCAAAGCCCTTGTATGCAGCCCTAAAGATAGAAAGAATAAAATTAAATCAAATTAAAAAGCTATTAACTACTTCACGTCTGGTCATTAAATAAGGAGATGCACAAGAACATGGCCCATGTAAGAATCACTGGCAATTTTTTTGACAAAGAGAAGAACAACAACTGGAAAAGATTGCAGCATCTCTATTTTAATTAAGTGAATAAATCATATTTTTGTGATCCTAATTGGGAGAAATCTATGGATAAAACAAGGTTTAAATTAAGGCATAGGGCATTATCCTACACTAAATAACTGATCAAGCAATCATAGCCTGATATTTACTATTACAAGTTTCAAGGTGCAAAGCAAAAGCAAAAGCACAATTACAAGTTCACCATTAAGTTATGTACTGAATACCAATTATAATCTATCATTTAGCACTAGTTATGATTAAAAACCCAGTCTGCCATTCTTTTAGAGAAATTGGAGAGTAGAAATTACAGTTCAAAAACAAAATTAAACTCAGGAATACATTTCATTCTTCCAACCAAGAAATACTGATAAAGAAAAATACTTAAAATTCCTACATAGAAGCCACAACAAACCAAAAAACTTAGTTCTATCCCATTGATAACTGAGCCATTGTTCTTTTCCTTCAAAAAGTTTGGAGTTCCTTTTTGTCCAAGTTACGATTACAATTAACTCCCAAAGGGTTCAAAAGACCAATATCAAGTTAAAGGACCACAAGGGTCAACATAACCCACATCAAGGAACTTCCTCCCACTGTTGTCTGCCTTCTGTAACCTTCTTTTCATCCTGCTAAAGTCTATACATATCTCATAACCTTCGGTAATGCCAGTTAGCAAAATCTAGAATTACAGATACTGGCAGTAAATTGCAAACCCAATTTACTCTAATCATGAACTACTGTAGAAAATAACAATTACATTTGTCAAGTACCAGTGCAAAGGGCTTCTTCCATCATTGTCAGGAATGTCGGGATCCGCATTCCATTTTGTAACAAGGTGATATATGAAAGCTGTCTGACCATATTGTGCAGCAACGTGCGTTGTCTGCAATTAAAGTGAGTGTGACAATGCATCTACATTAGCAAGTTCTCAGCAACTGAAGTACTAAAATTTATGAGGATAAAAAGAAAAAGAGAGAGAATGCTGAAAAGGTGAGGAACATAGCCATTTCTTCTTTCTTTCCTTCTTTAGCTGAATAGGAACTAAAGCCACTTCCAGTGAAAAAAATTTTGTGCAAGAGCTACCTAACAATTTATTGGCTGGAATAAGCATCCAGCCGCAGGAAAACACATTGACCTTATAGACACAAAACAAATGTGACACGAGAACTGTTTGGAATCAAGGGAATGTTATTGTTGCTCTTATTACCAGAGAATTACAATTCTCAATTGTGGTTTGCATGGTTCAGGTCATAAAAAGTTCTCTTACGTAAAGCTCTGCCACCAATTCTCCTTTGCCTCAGATTGAATTTATCCGCATTTTATCATAATCTGTTTCTCGATCTATTTACTTTCCATTGTGATTTTACTACTAATTATATAGTAACTAATTCTTTATCACACTGATGGTAGCTCACCTCTTAACAATTTAAAAAAAAAATTAAGGTTACTTCATCTGTCATTAGTCCACACATAGAAGGACTCAACTCACGATTCTTTAGTTTGGTGGCAGTCTAGTGAACCCACCAGTCTGGATGTTGTGTCAAGAAGGGACAGAGAGAATACTAATGGTAAATATAAGTAATAAAGCATCCTGAAATTTCTTGACAAGTTACTAGGAAACTTTCCATGTCATAATAACAATCTTGTCAAAATAGTCCTTGATCAGATTTCAAATTCAACAAAACTAATTTGTGTTTGCATAATCCTCTAGTTATCTAATGTACACCAATATGTAAATTTTAGTGCCTATGTATGGGAGATAAAGAGATATGGTGGATCATCTAAGGGTGGATGGAAGTGGCATCCCCCCAAGCTTCAAAATATAACGTAAAAAGAAACGCATATCCCGGAGCAGGCATTGATGAGAAGTTAACAAAACACTCGTGACCAATACCTCTCACCATTACATGCTGTACAAAGGCCCCCTAATCATGAGGCTAGACATGTTCCTCAGCAGCCAAATTATGTTTAACAAAGAAAACTAAATTTTGAAACGGGTAAAATTATGACAGCAAAATGGACTCGGACTAGTAATATAACTTATGTCAAGTCTTCAGGAACGTACATAATGGCAACAGAGAGAATTGACATACAAGAAAATAGAAAAAAGACGTGAAGATGGAACAAACGTGTATATGTATGACACTATCAAACATTTCAAAGCAGAAATAGAAAAAAAGGACATTTATACACCCCAAGAGGAAGTACTACTGACAGTAAATTGCCGGAGATGTTAGAAACATCAATATACATGAATGAAGCTAATCATCATAACTGACATATCCACCATTCCGAAACTATTCTAGAGAGTATAATTCCTAAACAAGAAAAAAAAAGTGGAATGTTGCAGTTTATTTATTGCATAATAATTCTATGAAACAACATATTCTCCATCAATATATTTACACCACCACTATCCAAGCAGATCATTAATTGCTAATTTGTGATGAAGAGGCGGGAACATAAGCAAACCTGATAGCCATACATATCAGCAGCATTGACCCTAGCACCCTCTTGCAATAGAAGCTCAGCAACTTGGATTGCACCCCTCACGGCACTCCAGTGCAGAGCCGTCTGGCCGGTATGGTCTGCCGCATTAACATCAACCCCATGCTGTCAAGTATACACCACAACATAATCAAAATAGAACACAATTGACCGGGAAGAGAGAGAGAGAGAGAGAGAGAGAGAGTCGCACTGACTTCGCACCTTCATTTACAGATTGCAATGTAACTCATATCCTATGTTCCAGAATCTACTCTCAGTTACTCAGGTCACGTGTTAGCAGATAATATTTTACACAAATTTATATTATACAACTAGATGCTAAGTTATTCTTTACATCCAACGCTCCCTACAATTTTCTTACATCTAGAGTTTCTGGATCAAATCTCTGGTGTATAATGTATGCAACTTCACAATGTTGAGTGCACATTCAAGCGACTAAATCTAATAAAATTTCAACACTAAATGGTAATTAATCTCTGGTGCCCGACCCGTTGCTGGCTATCAATCATTGACAAAACTTATTTCCATATAACAATATTAGCAGCTCAATTACACTTCACATCTCAAAATGATGGTCTTCCCCTCACTCCGATGGAAATTTCATCTGACATCTAAGATACAGAATCTTACTCAGCTCAACAAAATACAAAATTAGAACTGAGATACATATTCACCAAGCAATTAAATTCAATGAAGTCATTAACTCAATGTACAATACCCAATATACACGCACAAATGACAGACCCAGAACCGCATATATGCGTATAAATGTTAGTGCACCTCGATAATGTATTGGGCGGCGGCAGTGCGGTTATTGAGGGCGGCCCATTGAAGAGCGGAGTAACCAAGGGCGTCAGGCTCGGAAACGGAGCAACCCTCGCTTTCAACCAGCCGCTGCAGCTTCTCCATGTCCCCATAAGCCGCCGCCGTGTAGACGTCATTCCGGAGGCTATCATCCTCCACTACCACCTCCGCCGCCGGCTGCTTCCGATCTCCGGATTCCACTTCTTCCACCACCTCGATCTCTGATGCCATATTAAATATTCCAAATTGGGAATTTTTTTTCTCGGGAAATCAGGAGATTTTTCAAAGCAACAAATTGATCAACAATACAACATCCTACAAAAAATATATATATGTTTATATAAATCTGTATTGTCGTGCATAATTGACCAAAGAATTTCTTTAATCAATGGTTTTTTCCTGGAAGGAGACGGAGTTGACTGGATTGGTTCAAGGGATTGAAGAAACAGGGAAAGGCAGAAGAATTTATTTTTTTCTTGTTGGTAATTAATTACATGAACAAATGCGCTAGACATTTAATTTTAAAATTTCATATCTTGAGCCAATTCAAAATTTTCAATCTCTACTTCCACTCATTTTTAACCACAAATATTTTAATAAAATAATATTTTTCATCAAATCAATAATTTTTCCTTTTTTTTTCAACAACATATTCTCCATCAATCTGCTATTTCAAAATATATTCTTTCAAAATAATGTGATTCAAACACACCCAAATTACGTTCAAAATAAATAGTTTTCACTTATTTTTAACCTTTAATTAATCGTTATTGTTGGAGTTCTTTTTCAAAATAGCCATTTTAGAATGTTCTCAAAAATAGTCACACTTTTAAGTTATGATTTTAAAAGACGTCAAATAAAATGTTTATCGTAAAATCAAGTCACAAGTCGTCAAAATTGACTTAGCCAATAAAAAAATTCGAGCTTTGATTTAAATTAAGCCCCTGTTTGACACCCATTTTTTCTTATTCTCATTCTCATTTTTTTTCTCTTTCTTCATTTCAATCACACATTCTATCAATAAAATAATACTACACATAAACCCAAAAATTTTCATTACTTTTTAATCACACATTCTTCCATCAATCACTATTCCAAAATTTATTTTTTCTCTAAAATGGGTGTCAAACAGAGGCTAAATATTGACTCCTAAATTTTTTTTCCCACACTACATTGAAATATCGAACACATATATTATGATTATGATTTAGACATAATTAGAAGGAATTATACAGATCGGTGAGTGTGGGAGCATGAGTTAGGACACGAGAGGACTATGTGTAGTGATAAGCAACCACAAACATGGATGTGTGGTGGCATCGGGGAAAAGCACCAAGGTTTTGGACTGGTAAAAGAGTGAAGATTGAACAGACAACAACGAATTGAAATGAATTTTTTCTTCGAATTTTACTCTTATCTCAAATAAAATTTGAACCTACATCACAAATCTGAGAAGACACCGCTCTTAGGTCTTCATCTCGGTCAAAATGAAAGTTGGAGATTTAGTTTTATAAAATTAGTAAATATGATGTATTAATTAATGTTAGTTAATTGTTAACTAGAATTTAGTACTAATGATGCTACATAACATTACACAGTTTAATATATATATGCTTTGTGCATAAGCCCATTTTGGTAAATTCATTTATTTTAACTTAGGGTAATTATATTCACACACAAGTTTTTGTTAACTACACCGAATTTTAATTGCATTGAACATTCTCAAACTTTACTCATTTTTCAATTATATATTCCCCTTTTTTCGCCGAGGTGGAATAAAAAAAAAACATATTTGCCTATCTTATTTTTAATTTAAAAATAAATAACTAATACAAAGTTTGATAAAATATTTGTGTCTCACTTCTATACAGTTTAGGGAAAAAAATTTACTTTCATTATAATTAAAATGTGTAGTATGAATATAATTATAGAATCGATGTAACAAGCTCTAAACCCAATATTTTCTCAAAACAATAGACATTTATGTATTTTAGTTTATCATAATTTTTCTAAACGCATTTTTTGTGTATAATGTGAATAGATACATTTGGCGTATGTTTTTTTTTTTAATTGAAAATTGTATATTTTACTCATTGTGATAGTTCGCTCACCAACCGTTGACTAATCAGTTCCCATAAGAATTGACAAACAAGTAACTAAACTCGCATGAGAAATTGTTGCTCGACTCGTGAGTAGGTAAATCGATGAGCAGCTCGTCCCACTTAGTACCCCTCATTTTAACTGATTATGATTTCATTTTACAGTTCAAAAATTAAAATTGTAATATATATTTTTTTATTTTCTCAATTAAACCAAATAATAAAATAATTTTATATGAATTAACAAATGATCATACTTGAACATATATGAGTGAATTGTTTCAAAACTCACTGAACTAATATTTTGGTAACGGACTGCTCACGAAACTTCATTGTGCTTTGAAGTACTCACTCAACTTTACCTTTTACCTCTCCATCTATCACCGTCAAAAATTCTGTTTGTGGGTCGCTGACGTGGCAGACGGATTTCCTAACTGGCAGTCCAATGGCCGTTAAAATTCCAACTCACACACGCTAGACTAATTAAAACACGCCAGCATAGATTTTTTAAACAATTTTTTTAACTTAAAAAAAATGAATTAAAAAACCACCCACTGTTGGTTTTAATTCACTCCCCAAATCGACTGCCCTCCCCTCAAATTCCAATCGATTTGGGGCCAAGATAAACCCTAGTCCCAAATCTCTCAAATCCAGCCCTACCCCACCTGTTGAATCCTTCTCGAATGCGCAAATGGAGGGACCATACGGAGGTAAATTTGAATTATTTTGTCTTTGGTTTCTTGTTAATATTCGCACGGGTGGTCGGCTAGAATCTGATTTTTTTTTCTTTGTGGGGTAGCTTTTAACCGTGTTTACGTTTGGTTTAGGTGTATAAAATGTTTGTTGAAACAGTTAATTGATGGATGACATAAAATTTGCAGACTGACCATTTGAAGAACTTACCGCACCTGCAAATGACGAACCTTCAGACCACGGAGATTCATCTAATGGGCAAGAATCTGGTTCAGACGAGGACCCAGATTTCATTGATTCTGGGAATGAATTGGACTCTGAAAGGGATGACATGCTTTATGAAATACATGTGACGGACGTGATAGAAATAGGTTCGAATGTGACGGAAGCTGTAGTACAAAATCAGCCGGAGGATGATGATGTGGTTGATGACTTGGAGTACCCAAGTTTTGAAGAGATTCAGGCTGACTGTGTATCCGATGAGGAGGTTAGCCATTGTTTTCCGGAGTTCTTGGCCGAGGTTGACATGCGGAATCCACATTTCGAAGTTGGTCAGCTATTTAGAGATGTGGTGGAGTTTAGAAAGGCTGTGAGAACATATGGAGCTGTAAACGGATACAACGTCAGATTTAAGGCAAATGACGAGAGTAGGGTGCAGGGAATATGCAAACCTGGTTGCAATTGGAGAATTTGGGCGTCTTTGTTTGGTGACACGGGAAATATTCAAGTGAAGTCATACTCTCCTGAGCACAACTGCACTAGAGACCAGTATAATAGGCATTGCAACTACAAATTCCTGACCCGTCATTACATTGAGAGGTTCAAAGCGAATATGGAGTGGAAAACAAAGGGCATATTGGCGGCAGTGAAGGAGGATTTCAAAACTGAATTAACTCGGAACGTTGCATGGAGAATGAGAAGGTATGCGAAGGAACTATATATATATAAGCTTGGTTTTGTTGGTGGTTGTAGGTAGGTGATTGGAGTTGATGGTTGCCACTTAAGGGGATGTTTTGGTGGAATATTGTTGACGGCTGTTGGCCAAGATGCAAATGACCGCATTTATCTCGTTGCATACGCTGTGGTTGAGAAAGAAAACACACCCACTTGGAGGTGGTTCATGAGATTGCTAACTGAAGATGTAAACATTGGTACGGGAGTGGTTGGACGCTGATGGCAGATCGCCGGAAGGGGCTCCAAAATGTTGTTGACGAATTATTCCCAGAGGTGGAGCATAGATTTTGCGTCCGACATATGTACTCCAATTTCTTCTCTACTGGTCACAAAGGAAAAACACTTAAAGACTTCATGTGGCGTGCTGCCTAGTCTACCACTGTTGCAGAGTACAAATATTGGATGCAACAAATCTAACAAATGAGTCAAGATGCTTTCCTTTGGTTGATGGAAAGACCCACACAGGAATGGAGCAAGTCCCATTTCGAAACTCACTCAAAGTGCGATATCCTGTTAAACAACGGATGCAAAGTGTTCAACAAGACGCTTTTATTAGATCGAGAGAAAATTATTATCGATATGCTTTTGTCCATTCAGCTGAGCTTCATGCAAAGAATACAAAAGAGGAAGGAAAAGATGCGTATGTACGTGGGTCGGCTTTGTTCGAGGATTAGAAAGAGGGTTCACACTTTGGTTAAAAATTCGAGGGAGTGCATCGTGTACTTGTCTGGTGGTGCCAAATGGCAAATGGAATGTAGTCGTGGAACATTTGTAGTTGACCTGGAGGAGAGAACATGTGCCTGTAGAAAGTGGGAGTTGAGTGGCATTCCATGCCTCCATGCGATGGTTGTTATACGCGAGTGTAGGAATGAGCCAGAGGATTACGTAGACAATTGCTATACAACTGAGGCGTACTCCAAGTGCTACGATAATATTCTTAATCCCATCAATGGGCCAAGGCTGTGGCCGGAAGTGAATGCGGAAGTAATTATCCCCCCCCCCCCCAACTGGGTAATTTCTAAAAGAGGGCGACGACAGAAAAAAATGAGGAGAGGGCCTGAGGAAGTCGTAGTGCACGAGCAAGGAAGGTCATACGTAAGGAGAACTGGACAGGTGCAGATGACGTGCACGATTTGTGGAGCTCGTGGACACAACAAACGACACCATACAACAGCTTCTGTTTCGGATGTGAGTGAACCCGTTTTTCCCTTAACTGCCTTTTCCCTCAGGTTAAAATAACAATGTTTTAATTTTGTAATATAGGACTTTGTAGATGTACCGTTGGAGCCGGTCGAATCTGTTCAAGAAAGAGGAAGGATTGAAAGTGTAAGTTTATCATTCATTTGGAGTTTGGTATTTGTTACAATTCACACAGCAAGTTAGGACTTTTGTTAATCCACCATGTAGGGGAAACTGTCCGCGAGGAAGGGGAGTCAAGTAGCTTCGCAGTCGCATACTATGGAGGCAATGGTGGAAAATCTCCATGAATTGGATAATGCTGAAGTTTCGCAGTCAAGGGCAGCTCGAAGGTACTCCGGACGTCTTGCAAATACGATAATTGCTACTTCTCGTCGAACCTAAACAGAGTCTTCGAAAATGATCATTCTCAGTTGCTGTTTTTGTTCAAGGATTCGGTGTTTTGTAGTTGGCTAGGAGTCCTGTGGTGTGGATATTTTGTGGGATTTTTGTTGAATGATGCCGATTTTTGTTGAAGGATTACTTGTGTATTGTATCCCTTTTGTTGGCTAGTAATTATATGTTTTGAAACAATGCACCAACTGATTAGTCCAATTCAATAAGATTTAAAGCAGTTCATCACTTGTTTGATTTAAATGATTATAGGGAAACATTGAGCTAAATATTCATTTACAACAAATGTAGACAAATTCAACTACATTTGCAGACACATACTACCACCTTTGTAGAGACACATAGACCCAATTGCACTACATTCGTTACCAACTAACGTAACAACAACCAAATTTAGTACATAGGATGCAATACTTCAACGGACTTGCCAGATTACAAAGAAGACGAAAATGCCAGATAATGCAATTTTATACATTTTCATCAATTTGCAACATTTCTGGTTTTCTTCTTCAAGCCTGTTCTTCGACCGAATCAACCAATTTATGACTACCTTACACCTATCACCCGGTGCCTGGTCGATCCAATCGAAGAAATTGCAGGCATATCGCATACCATATGATCGACAGCCTAGAAACCTTCGCCCTGGGTTGTTTTCCATCCAAGATGTTCTCACACACACCAGCTGCCCACAATAGCAGTACCTTCTTGACCCATTATCCCCGGAAAAGTGAGACATTGCAACTACAAAGCAGTAACAAAGAGATGGCTGTATATGAGAAAATTCGACTGCTTCAACTGCGCCTGCGAGAAGGACTTCGTGCTTGGAAGAGGCGGACTTCGTCGGTCGCTTTGCGCATTCGAAAAGGATTCAACAGGTGAGATAGAGGTGGGGTAGGGCTAGATTTGAGAGATTTGGGACTAGCGTTTATCTTGGCCCCAAATCAATTGGAATTTGATGGGAGGGGAGTCGATTTGGGGAGTGAATTGAAACCTACGGTGGGTGGTTTTTTAATTGCTTTTTTTTTAAGTTAAAAAAATTGTTTAAAAAATCCATGCTAACGTATTTTAATTGGTCCAGCATGTGTAAGTTGGAATTTTAACGGCCGTCGAACTGCCAGCTAGGAAATCCGTCTGCCACGTCAGCGACCCACAAACAGAATTTTTTACGATGATGGATGGAAAGGTAAAAGGTAAAGTTGAGTGAGTACTTCGAAGCACAATGAAATTTAGTGAGCAGCCCGTTACCAAAATATTAGTTCAGTGAGTTTTGAAACAATTCACTCAACATATATACATGGTTAGTTGAATTTTTAGAACTTTATAATTTGCATGATTGATGATATGCCCAGGCCTCTTCACCTCATTAATTCCTGTTTTTCGATGCTTAAATATGATCGGAGCGATTGCTTCTTCACCCAATTAAGTTTAATTTCTCTTTTGGATAGATTGCGATTTTTCAGAAAGAAGTAGCTGCGGTGAAATTTGGAATCTCATTCTCAGCATTCTCTATTTTTATACAGTTGAGTGATTCTCTTGGCCTATTCAATAACCCTAAATAACTCCATATTTCAAATCTTAGAGCATGCTTGAGAAGTTTACTTATAATTGAATAAGAAGTTTAATATAACCAAGAATTTTTCGCGAAAGTCGAAAATAAGTTACTAAAAATAGGCAGTCAATGTTCCCACCATTGAAAGCAAAAGCAACGTAGCGTAGAATCAAGAATGTGGAAGGCATGAATTGTGGAAGACAGTGACGAAGACTTTCTTGGGGTTACGAGTTAAAGCCATGCAGGAATTTGGGAGCCAATAAGGGCATAACTTGCGATTTACTTCATCGAGCTGCTGAGGGACTGGTGGCTAGGGGTCCAGTATATAGTCTGGCTAAGTTGGGATATCTACGTATCAAAAAAAAAAAAAAAGAATTGCAGTGTTCTTTTTTCCACTTATTTCTTGAATGTTACGTTAACAAAGGTAAACATATACTCTGTTTTTAACAGTAGTTGAATAATATTATATCATTAAAATTTCGTGACTCTGAGCTTGTGTTCCTCGTCAATAATTTTTTTTTTCCTAAAAATATTTAAATAATCACATATCTTTCTCATCCCTCGGGTGATGACCAAGTCATTTTAGAAAGTTTCCAGTACCAATTCAACTTGTATCTTTAATATAATGAATGTGTCCCTCTGTCCTACTCTAATGCTAAAGAGGCCCCTCCATGATCATCGACAATCAGGAGCTAATTCTGACTTTCCGATTGCATAAACAAAGTTAGTTGGCTTCCCTCTGGAAAAAAAAATCTTCATTTAAAGAAAGCCAACAACCCTCAAGTTGACTTTTAGATCAAAGCTATCATCTGTGGCCAACACACACAAGATGGCGAGCATTATACTTCCTGTAATTGCTGTTACCGGAGTTATCAGAAAAATCAGCGACATAACCGGAAACTTGATCGTTGGCGAAGCCTTGGGTAGGTATTGGTTGAAAGAAGATATGGAATGGATTGAAAGAGAAATGAGGAGAATCGAATCCTACTTAGCAGATGTTGATGCCATAATTTCCACCCAAGACGTAAGCCAGAGATTGCTTAAATTTGTCGATGACATTACAAATCTTGCTGAATATGTCGAAAAGACTATTGTAGTTTATGAGAATTTGTCAGGAAAGAGAAAGGGATTGTGTGGGTGTTTTGTAACATGTACGTGGAGCCGTCATCAGTTGGTGATGAAAATAGAAAAGATCAGAAGAAGAGTAACTGAAATCACTGAAGCGAAATCAAGATATGGGCTTCCTGATAATCCTGACAAGGCTAAGACTGATCCCGTGGATAGGAGAAGATCTTACTCTCATTTCGATGAACCAAATGTTATAGGCCTAGATAGGCAGGTGGATACGTTGATTAGCAGGCTTGAAAATTCGGAGTCGCAGGGTTATTTCATTTCCATTGTTGGTATGCCAGGAGTGGGGAAAACTACTCTAGCTAAGAAAGTGTATAATTCAGCCAAGAATTTTATATGCTTAGCTTGGGTATATGTATCTCAGAATCCATCCATACTGGAACTTATGAAAGACATCGCTAGACAAGTCGGCTTGGTAAAGGAGCAACGGGAAGAGAACTTGATTGAAAATCTCTATTGTTTTTTGAAAGGAAAAAGATACGTTATATTCTTGGATGACATCTGGGATACAAATACATGGGACAACCTAAAAGTCGGCTTCCCAAATGAGGGAATGAGCATTGTTATTACTTCGAGATATAGTAGTGTAGGTAGAGGCATAGGTGGAGAAAGTTCTTTACATGAGCTTCAGCCTCTAGATCCAAACAGCAGCTGGGAACTCTTCTCGACATTGATCATGGCTCACGAAGAAAATAATATTATGAATATACCATCTGAATTAGAAGATGTTGGCAGACTAATAATCGAAAAATGTGGTGGTGTTCCTCTAGCAATTGTGACCACTGCAGGCATGTTGAGGAGAAGAGAGAGACGGCCCGATGTGTGGAGCAGGGTACTCAATAGCATGGACCGAGATCAGGAGTGTTCGAATAACTTAGCCTTAAGTTACAAAGATTTACCTCTTCATTTGAAACCGTGCTTTCTGTATTTCGGAATTTTCCCTAAAGGCCATGAAATTCCCGCATTTAAAATAATGAATCAGTGGGTGGCTGAAGGATTCATACGTCCTGATGGCATACAAGCAGTAGAAGATATGGGGGAAGATTACTTAGAAGAATTGATAGCCAGGAATTTGATCATTGTAGTCAGGAGAAAAATTAATGGGAGGGTTAAATTTTGCCGCATCCATGATCTTCTGCACAATATTTGCATTTCAGAGGCTCCCAAAAGTAAATTATTTGATGCTAGCAATAACACTTCTTTGAATTCCATAATAGAAGGTCATAGAACAACTAACCATATGTTTGGAAACTGTAAAATTTCCATGAATCGCATCGATCAGAAGCTGGAATCGGAACACTTGAAGAGTATCCTCCAAAACTTCAGATTCATTAAAGTACTACGTGTAGAATGCCAAACCTTACCTTCATTTCTTCCAAAAAAAATTAGCAATTTAGTCGGCTTGACTTACCTTGAACTGAGAGGAGATGGTAGCCTAGAAGTGCCTCGTACTATAAGCAATCTCAGAAGTTTAGAGACCTTGGATGTTCAAGGATGTGAAGAAGTAACATTACCTACAGTTATTTGGAAGATGCAAAGGTTAAAGCACATTCTTCTACCTCTCTCAGCCAAGTTTCAAAGCTCATCAAAGTGTTGGAACCTGAAAATTGAAGAAGTGAATCTACCGAATCTCCAGACCTTGTATACATTAAATGGAAATTCAATGAGTGTCAAATTCTTGGAGAAGTTTACCAATTTAAGAAAATTGGGACTTTGGTGTTCTATGGAGGAGATTGGAGTACTGTTAAAAGACTCAATACCAATATCGAACAAGATGGAGTCATTAATCCTTCAAATAAGGGATGATGATCCAAATATAGCCAGTAAAATGTTCTCGAGGTACTACTCTACAATTCCAGAAATTCTTTCTAGCAATCAAAATATTGATTCTGATAGTCCACGGCTGAACTTTTCTGTCTATGGCAATCTTGTGGACCTGTATCTGGAGGGCTCAATTAGGAAGCTACCAGAACTACCAATGAGCCTCAACAAGCTCGCGCTAGCTGGCAGTAGACTAGAGCAAGATCCCATGGAGGAGTTAGGGAAACTATCCAATTTGAAGAAGCTCCAACTTCGTGCAAATTCCTATATTGGAAGTAAAATGGTGATGTCAGATTCCTGTTTCTTCCCCAGTCTAGAAGTTTTCATACTAGAGCCTATGCCTGCACTGAAAACGCTGAAGGTCGAAGGAGAAGTGATGCCAAAATTAAAATGTCCACGGATAAATTGCAAAATCAAGTTGGAGATACATTCTGAGAGGTTGAGAAATATATTCACTGAATTCAACAATTACCTCATGGGAATGAGCTCTCCTTCTCTGTCAGAGATTAATTTTGCACTTCCAAACGATGATTTTTCCTGGGATGAAGAAGAGGAAGACGAGATAGAGGACTCGGTTATACAACCAACAAGCAGGATCACAGACAAAGGGAAGGATTTATTACATGAAACAAAGTCAGGAGAAGAAATTGTTGGCATCCAGACCGCTACATTTGGACCAGGTATTGCTACTCCAATTTTGCCTTTCGGTGATGATAAACAGAACCAAGTAAATCACTCATCAATATAGTCTCTCGTGTTCATGTAATGTAGTTAATCATTGTGCTCCAACATTGGCTTGTCCCTCTTCATTATTAGTTTACCTTCTTCTTTGTTCGTATTTTATATTTGAAAATGCTCACTCAATTATTGTTATTACATAGATCATGTCACTCCTGCCTACATCGATACTGAGCAATGTGGCTTCCAAAAGAAACTGCGCGATAAGTTATTGCAGAAGCAGCTTGAGCTAGAAAAGCACAAAACAGAGTCTTCCGTAGTGCAGGCTCAGATGGAGGCCGATATTAAAGAGTTGGAGGAGCAGTTGAATGGTGGCGCTGGGGCTGATACTGTCCAAGAGAAGACCTTGGATTTTGAGATTGAAGTACGGACAAATGTATTATGTTAATATTGTTTCTTTAAAATGAATTATTGTATTTAATTTTAAAATATATAATTAAGTCTTTTACGTTTGTAATATGACAGGTGGTTACATATCCTACAAAGGAGGTCGAAGATGACAATGCGACTTTAGATGGAGCGTCTCCTTCAGTCGTTGCCTTCTATAACGAACTGAAATCCACTGCGCTCACTCCTAATGTCGTTTATTCTGTTGAGTTGAATCCAGGCATTTACGGGACAAAGATGCGATGTTGGTTCGAGAGTCAAGATTTCACAAGTGTTTGTTTGATGAAGGAGATTTCGTCAAACTGCATCTTGTTATATCAAACGTAAGTCATTTTCAGATTTAATGCTGTTATCTTGTTAGTTCATATACTTCACTATATTTTTTGATACAAACTTAATTCCATTTTTCATCTAGATACTTGTTTCGTAAGCTCAAGGAATTAAGTTTAACCAACAAGTACGCTTTTATTGATCCAACAATTGCATCAAAGGGTTCGGGTACGACAGGGAATAGAGCCCAAGATCTCAACTCTAAATTGGGAGTTCTAGTGCCCAGTCAGTTGGCACTTGTACCCTTTAATGTAGGGTAAGTATTTTGTTATTTTAAAATTCGATTTTTTATTGTTATAGATTGTAAAGATATTTTTTCTAAAATTTTGTCTGGCTTTTTTAGAATTCATTGGGTACTACTTGTGATAGACCCCTATACCAACACAGTACACATATTTGATTCTATAAAGGATTCTCTAAACAAGGATGTGCACCAAGAGATCAAAGACGTCCTTGATCCGTAAGTTTATACATACATAATAGTATAATTTTCAAACCGATAAATTTGTTATCTAAGTGATGATATTTTTCCTACTAACCAGAATTTAATGCATGTATGCTCATATATTTATATCGAAAACAGGGCATTCAAACTTTTTGACGCCGCTAAACAGTTGAATTTGCGCGAGACAATTTCTTACGAAATTGTACAGGTAAGTTAGTATTTATTAACTAGTGTCGCTTTACGTTTTTATTCGTTTTGATATAAGATAAACATTATTTCTATCCTGTGTATTCACAGTGCCCTTGTCAATCTGGTGATACAGAGTGCGGATATTTTGTGATGCGATTCATGAGGGATATAATAGACAAGAATGATACACCATTAAATTCATTGGTATGCATTGCTTTCTATTTTTTAACTTTTTTGAGTACATATCCAGTAAACATATCATTGTTCTTACTAAATTTCCTTTCTACATTTACAGTACAATTATAGTGTGGCATTTTCCCAAGATTTACTTGACGAGGTCCGGAATGAATGGATTCAATTTTATAAAGAAGTCAAATAAAATTCTTATTTTGGTATATAGTACATTGTTTTATTGTTTGTAGTAAGTTTTTGTTTATTTATTTATTTTGATATGTATTATGTTTTGACATATTGTTTTTATTTGAAAGATTTGTTTATGGTATTGGGATTTGGTAACAAGGCTAATTAGTTTTCTGTAGATTGTTTGTGGTCGGTTTGTGAATGCCGGGTAGATTGTAAACATTGTTTGTGGAATTTTATAATTTTATGTATGAATTTCAACAAGGTTTTTTGGGTTAGATTGAAGTGTTGAAGACTGGAATTACAGGCAGATATATATGAGGAATATTATTTGAAGTTAGTAAGTAGTAAGCATAACCAATGTGAACTTTTTCGCTTCATTGAAAAGCATTTCTGGGCTAGTTACAATTTGGACCTCGCAGATAGGTTGTCATCCTTGCTATGTTCACTATCCAACACGATCTCTGTCTCAGGTATATGCAATCCTTCTTCCTGTTGTTTGAATCAGCCGACAAACTCATCATGAACTTGTCTTCAATGTTGGACCATTCATCACACGATAGGTGCAGGGCATAGAACGAGTTTTAGAAGGTTTTTCAGATGAAATTCCAGCAGATTGTTACTCCCTCATGTATGATCTAGAGGTTTCAATGGAAGCTTTACAGAATGTCCATTTAGTTGAGAAGGGGGCAAGGTTTGAAATGAGCCTGATTCTCTTTATTATCCTCTAAATGACATCGACTTGAACCTAGGGGTCCCAAGGATGGTTTTTGACCAAACTCAGTTTCATACACCTGATACCAGCTGAGCCATTCATTGTGGCTGCTACTTTTGGAGACAATTTCTTTAGACCCTTCTGTCAGCCTAACTATCTGATTTTTGAATCAACCCTGAACACTCCAGTGACTGCTGCCTGTCCAGTGAACACTAAAAGCATGTTTGGCTAGCTTAGAAAGTTTACTTATAGGTCAATAAGTAGTTCAAGTAAATAAATTTTTTTACTGGCGAAAGTTGAAAATAAGTTATTTATATTTTACCCCTTTTTTGCTTAAAAAAACAATCGTTCTGTGCTTGATTTCTTAGTCAATAATGTACATTGGATTAGACAAACAAGAAAAATATCGCTGGATCATTGAGAACGTTGAAATATTCCTATATCTTTAATAGATTGAATGTCCCTGTATCACATCTTTTTATCAAACTATCACTTGGGACCAAGTCACAAAGATGGCAAGCATAATTCTTGCTGCAGTTTCGCTTACCAGTTTTATCAGACAAGTCAGCGACATTACTGGAAACTTGATCGCTGGCGAAGTCTCCGGTTAGTATTGCTTGAAAGAAGATATCCAATGGATTTAAAGAGAAACAAGGAGACCTCACAAGGCGAAACCCAGAGCTTGCTTAATTTTATGGGTGACATTGAAAAACTTGCTAAATATGTTGAAAATACTATTATAGTTTATAGGAATTTGTTTGGCGAGAAAAAGAGATCCTATGGATGCTTTGGAATAGTGCAGAGCCGGCATATAATTGTGATGGACATTGAAAAGATCAGAGCCGGCATATAATTGTGATGGACATTGAAAAGATCAGAAGAAGAGGAAATGAAATTACCGAAGCTAAAGCAAGATATGTTATTGATGTGATGAAAAATATCATTTTATTGAAGAATGTGTGGTTGAAAATGAGTTTTGAAAGAATGTGTGTCAAACAGGAGCTAATACTTTGATTAACAGGCTGAAAAATTCAGGGACACACAATTGTATCATTTCCATTGTTGGTATGCCAGGAGTAGGAAGATTACTTTAGCTAAAAAGGTCTATAATTTAATTAAGAACCAATTTATGTGCTCGGCTTGAGTATATGTATCTTAGAATGCATCCACATTAGAGCTTATGGAAGATATTGCTATACAAATCAGGTTGTTGGAGGAGAAACGAGTAGAGAACTTGATCGAAAATCTATATACCTTATTGAAAGGTGAAAGGTATGTGTAATATTCTTGGATGACATCTGGGATATGAAAACATGGAAGGGCCTAAAATTTGGCATCCCAAGATGCGAAAAGAAGCGTTGTTCTTACATTGCGATATAGTAGTATCGCTAGAGGAATAGGTGAAGAAAGTTCTTTACACGAGTTTAAGTTCTCTAGATCAAAAATAGTTCCCAACTCTTCTCTGCATAGATCATGGCTCATGAAGAAAATAATAATATGATTTTTCCACTAGAATTAGAAGATGTAGGTAAACAAATAATTGATAGATGTGGTGGTGTTCCTCTAGCATTTATTGCCACTGCAAGCATGTTGAGAAAAAGAGAGAAAAGTCGTGACGTGTGGAGCAGGGTAGTTGAAAACATGGTAGAGTTAGAAGTTTCTGATGGCGAACAAGCAGTAGAGATATAGGGGAAGATCACTTAAGAATTGACAGCCAGGAATCTGATAATTGTGGGGAAGAAAAGAGTTAATGGAAGAGTTAGAAGTTTCTGCATCGATGATCTTCTGCATTATCTTTGCATTTCAGAAGCTAGGGAAAGTAAATTATTCAAAACCAATAATCACAATTCTTCAAATTCTCTAACCGAAGGTCATAACAACTGAGCATATGTTTTTAAAGTGCCAAATTTCCACCAGATGTGCATTCCTTTGTTTTCAGGGAGATCGGAAGCTGCAACTGAAACACTTACAAGTATTGTTTGAGACTTCAGATCCATTCAAGTGGTACGTGTCATATACCAAACCTTGCCTTCTATTCTTCCAGATGAACTTGGCAGATTTTATTTCAGTTGACTTACCTTGAACTGAAAGGAGACAGTCACCTAGAAGTACTTCCTACTATAAGCAATCTCAGAAGTTTATAACCTCGGATGTTGGAGGATGTGAATATGTGACGTTACCTGGAAGATGCAAAGGCTAAGGCACATTATCTACCTGTGTCAGTCAAGTTTCAACATGGGTCGGAGTAGGAACCCAAAAATTGAAGAACTGAATCTACAGAATCTCCAAATGTAACGACCCGGGTCCACTTAACGGGCTGTCCCGACAGTTAGATCGATGACGTACTGTCTCTACTGTACCAACATGGGTCTTTTCAGCATGCTTTATCCTCACTTGCACACTCCTCAAGAAAACTTCCCAGATGGTCACCCATCATAGAATTGCTCCAAACCAAGCACACTTAACTGTAGAGTTTCTAATGATGGATTTCCGAAAAAGAAGGTGCACCTTGTTGGTATGAGTAGTACCTATCAAATCTTTTAAGTTTCCTGGTCTAGGTATTACATTATGGATGGTGACTTTCGATTCCCCCATCCATCCCTTTTTCGTATCACCTCGTCGCGCTTGATCCATCTGAGGATCTGTTGCCAGGCGTTGGGATTCTAGAGGTGGCTCCTACGAGTTCAAGAGGTGGCTCCCGTCCTATGGCGTAGCACTTTGTCCCGCATAGCACTTAGTTCCCGATTTTCGACTGGCAATCGAGCTCTGATACCATTTGTAACGACCAAGGTCCCACTTAACGGGCTGTCCCTGTAGTTAGATCGACGACGTACTGTTCCCACTGTACCAACGGTGCACTTTCTTTTTCGAAAGTCCATCGTTATAAACTTTACAGTTAAGCGTGCTTGATTTGGAGCAATTCTATGATGGGTGACCCCCTGGGAAGTTTCTCAGGGAGCATGCGAGTGAGGACAAACATGCTGAAAAGACTCATATTGGTACAGTGGGAACTATACGTCGTCGATCTAATGGCCGAGACAGCCCGTTAAGTGGGACCCGGGTCGTTACACCAAACCTTGTATACATTAAATGGATATTCAATAATACCTGAATGCTTATAGGAGTTCGATTTAAGATTAAGACAATTCAGGATACAGTGTTCTATTGACCAAACTAGAGTGCAAATAGACTCAATGTCAATATTGAACAAGAGAGAGGTCACACCTGCAAAATCTTGATTTAGCTCATCCGAATTTAAACTTTTGCGCCTATAGGAACCTTGTCAGCCTTTATCTGGAGGGCAATTGGGAAGCTGCCAGAACTACCAATTAGCCTCAACAAGCTAACTTTGGTCAGCAGCAGAATAGAGCAATACCCTATGGAAGAGTTAGGAAAACTAGCCATTTGAAGAATCTTCAACTCTGCAGAGATTCCTATATGGGAAGTAAAATGGTGATCTTAGATTCCTATTTATTCCCCAGTCTGGAAGTTTTCATAATAGTGCCTATGTCTGCATTGAAAATGCTGTAGGTTAGAGGAGAGGTGATACTGAATTAAAATGTCAACGCATAAATTGTGGGATCAAGTTAGAGATGCAGATTGAGAGGTTGAGAAATATATTCGGCGAATTCAATGCACATCTCTTGTGTACGAGCCCTCTGGAGTCAGTGATTGAATTAGCATTGCCTAGCGATGATTATGACTAAGACAAATATGAAGAGGAAGAGAACCAACATGCAGCATTACAAACAAAGGGGATTAGAAACTTTTGAAATTTAGAATGGTACATTGAACCATGTGAATGGTCATTATCAATTTGCTTGGTATAATATCAAAGTGTATTACATTTGGAATTTTTTCAGTTTATACATGCTTATATCTTGTGAGAACATACATTTTGAAAGGTAGAGTTATCACAGTCCAGCAATTTATTTTTCTATCACATATGGTTTTAGGTTTTAATAGACTTTTGTGATGATTTTTAGAAGATTGGATTTATGAGAAAGTTTTTGAATTGTGATAACAAGATGGACATTCCAAAATAATGTAAAATAAAATGACATTTTTTGCTTCGGTGGAAGGAGTTTAAGTCTAGAATTACAAGCAGGCATACAAGGAATGACATCCCTATAATGTCATGGCTCAGCAATGACCTTAAAGCTTCAAGACGTTCATCCAAAATGAAGACCTGGCAGATAGTTCAACCTTCTTTAGGTTTTTAAACCACCTACATTGCAGCCTGAAGTCTTGCAAACTCTCCATCAATGTTTGAACATTTGAAGAAAAACTGTCATGGATAACCTCTTTCGATGACGGTAGGAAAACAAACAAACATTGTTGAAAAGTTACAATGAGAGAGAATCTCTAAGCACAATGACACTCATTGGCGAAATTTTTTAGCTGCCTACAAAACTAGTGTACTAATATTTCCAATAATAGAAAAGAATGAATTAATGTGCTGGAGCCTGGAAGCCAAAAACAATGTCAGTGCTATAGCATTTTGAGATCAAATTATACAGTATAAGTACAGGTCCCTTGCACATTGTTATCATTAATAGCATGCCTGTAATAATTGCAATTTGAAACTTGAAGAATTTTCCATTGTGAATGAGCTGCTATTTGAAGTTAGTAAAGCAGTAAGCATAAATCAATGGGAACCTTTTCGGTTCCTTGAAAAGCATTTCCGGGCTAGTGACAATTTGGACCTAGCAGATAAATTTTCATCCTCGCTATCTTCACTATCCAGCACGATCACTGTCTCGGGTACTGGCAACAGTTCTTCCTGTTGTTCGTATCCACCAACAGACTTCTCATCATGAACTCGTTTAGATTGCTGCTTTTCATTGGACCTGTCATCACATGACATGTGAAGGTTTTTAGAACAATTTGTAGAGGATTTTTCAGAATGCAAGTCAAGCTGATCATTACTCCCTCGCAATTGATCTACAGGTTTCAATGCCAGCTTTCCAGATTGTCCTTTTGGTTGTGAAGGGAGCAAGGTTTGAAATGGAGCCTGATTCTCTTTGTTATCCTCTAAGGGGTGTCGACTTGAACCTAGAGGTCCCAAGGATGGTTTCCTTCTAACCAAGCCTAGTCTTATACGCCTGATACTGGCAGAGCCATTCCCATTCTGGTCAACAGGATTCTTGTACAGATTTATTCCATTGTGGCTGCTACTTTGAGAAACCGTCTGTGGAGGCACAGGGGCTAGTTTGTCAACACAATAGATACTTCTCTTCCTCGACTCTATTGATTGTAGTGACTGCTCTGAAGATTTCTCCAAACAAATATTTTTGCTATCACTTAATAACTTACATACTTCACCTTCAGGGGGTTCTTGCTCATAATTGTCAGCAGTCTGCAGCAAGGACACTGAAGAATCCATTGAAGGGTTTCCGGTTTCCATAACAGACATACCTTGTTTTGACATCTCAATATCTACACTGTCAGCATTTCTAATTTTGGAGACATCAGAAATTTTCTGCTGACGTTTATGCCTAGTGACTTGTAGATTGTCACAATCTCGATTGCATTCAATGGCAATTTCTTTATAACCTTCCTTCAGTCCAACATCCATCTGGTTTTCAGGCACATCATAGATCCTCTTGCCACTGTCCGATTTCATAATCGAGCCTGAACACTCCAGTGAGAGCTTCCTGCTGCTTCCACCAGATCTCTTATGGCTTACAAAATACTCGTTTTCACACAATGATACATTCGATACATTCATTTCACTCTGCACAAAATAAGTAATAGTATTAATTAAGTCCTTGCATAAATGATACATCCAACCAAAAAGTAACCTTACTTGTAGGGTGCTTATATTTGTGTGAGATTGAGTTCCTTGGCCAC